TAATTTGGTTTTTAATATTAAATTAATTCAAATAAAAATTTATATGATTTAATTAAAAAATTTTAAAGTACTAAAAGTTATATTATTAAGATTAAAATTTTTTTTAATTTAAAAAATACACACTATGATAATTTTTAAAAGTTAAAATATTAATTTAATTAATATTTATATAATAATTTTTAAGTAAAATATAAAGTTTTTTTTATCTTTATGTTTCATCTAATGTTATTCATTTAAATTGAATATTTTAAATAGTCATTTATTGTTTAAAAATTTTTTAATAAAATAAAAATAGTATTTTAATCAAAGAATTATAAAAGTTTTCATTTTTCTACAATTATTAAGATAAAATTTTAATTTAAGTTAGTAAAAAACTTTCAAATGAAATTAAAAAATTTTTAAGAAATGTTCAAAATTTTTTTAAACTGTTTTTTTGAATTATTTTAATTTTTTTTAGAATTATTTTTTAACTAAAAATTCAACTATCATTGATATAAATTAGTCCTTTATAAAATATACTCCTTTTATTATAAAAATTTTTTATATTTTTACCCCTAAATGGATAATTCAAATAAACCCATAACATTCATACCAATAATATCATTGCTAAGAATATTTTATCTACCAGTTTCATATGTTGTTATTTTATTATTGGATTATTCTAAAAACATTAAAGCAGTTGAAAAATTTAATGATTTTTTAGATCACTTTAAAACACTTGGATTCGCTGCAGTAAGTTTATTCATCATATTAGGATATTTTTTATCAAATAGACTATCATATATTTTTAGTTCAGTTTTTCTTGGATTATTTCTTGCGGAAATAATGACTTTTATTAAAACTTGTGTAAAAAGTTTTTAAATAAAACTAATGATACAGTTGATATAAACCATATAAAGATAGTTGATATATTTAACGATCAATACAAGTTACTAAAGGATATTATTATAACAATAATTAATAAAGCAAAAAATGATACAGCTTTCAATATTAATGAAATCTTTGAAAAGTTAGAAATTAAGTTATTTTTTTTCTTATCTACAAAAATATCAGATATAACCAGTAATAATATCCAAATTCATTATGCATATACATTGATTTTATCAATTATTGCAGCACTCATCCAAATGATAATTGATTTGGCTGTGTTCGTTTTGCTATCTATAATAATCATATTGTCAGTTAAATCAATAGCAGAAATGTATTCAGAAATAGATACTTTACTCGAAGTAGCGATAGTAGTTATAGCTAGTTTAATTATAATTACTTTTCTTAGCACTTTATTTAAGAAAATAACAAATTTCGTAAGAATTGCGATACTTTCAATATACTTTGGATTATTACTTAATTTTTTAATATTAATACTTTTAGGGCACAAAAATGAACTTTATGATATTTGTAATAGTTTCTTGAACAATGAAATTGTTACAAATGACTCCAAAATATACCAATCATTTGGTGGGATTATACCAATAATTCTTATTCTTATAAGTTGCTCAATTAATTTTTATTTAGCAGAATAATAAATTAATTTCCTAACTAAATATAATTAAGTATTTTTTATAGAATTTTTTAAGTTTAAAAATTAAATTTTTAATTAACTAATCAATTTTAAGTCTCCTTTTTAACTATAAATTTATTTTTTTATTAACCCTTTTATGATTAACAATACAAAAGATGATTTATGTCAGTTAACAAATCTTGATAACGAATCAATAATTGATAATCTAGAAAAGAGGTATAGTTCAAAAGACATTTATACTAAAAGTGGATTAATGTTATTATCAATCAATCCTTATCAACAACTTGATATTTATTCATCTGCATATAAGAATTTATACAAACGTACTGATAATTTAAATCCTCACATCTACTCAGTAATTGAAGAATGTCTAACTAACATTCCAATGTATGGAAAACATTCTATAATTGTTAGTGGGGATTCTGGGTCTGGTAAGACTGAATGTACTAGGTTCTTAATGGGTTATTTAGGACTGGAAATGATATCTGATATTGATGTGATTATTGAAAGTTTAGGAAATGCAGTTACTGTACACAATAACAATTCAAGTAGATTTGGAAAGTTAATTAAGATAGATAAATCTGTGAGTATAGAAACATTTTTATTAGAAAAAAGTAGAGTAACATTTCAAAATAAAAATGAGCGAAACTTTCATATATTCTATTATATATTAGATGGTAGTAATTTATCTTATTCTAATGATTATATAGATTATGAGTGCGATGGAAAATACAAAGGGAAATATGATGAATTAAGACATGCTTTTAGTAATGTAGGATTAGATTTTGAAACTATAGAAAATTTATTATTAGGAATTCTTTTTTTAGGAAGTATCAAAATAGAGAATGGTCAAATAGCTGATAGTATAGAAGTTTTAAATTTATGTACTATATTTGGTATAAGTAAAGAAACACTCAAGAGATATTTATGTCAGAAAGAACTTAGAATTAAAGATGAGGTAATTATTAAAGAATACACTCAAAAAGAATTTATAACTGTAAGAAATTCAATAGCAAGGCAATTATACTCACTTTTATTTGATTATGTTATTCTTCACATAAATAATTATATGAAGAATAAACAAGTGGCTGTTGAGAAATTAAATATACTTGATATTTTTGGATTTGAAGATATCGGTAAGAATGGATTAGATCAATTTTGTATAAATTGGTGTAATGAGAAGATTTACGATGGGTATGTTAAGAATACTTTTGACTATCAAAGATCGTTATTTATGGAAGAGAACATTAATTTTGAACAAATAAGCAATACACCACCTTTAAATAAGTCTAAAATTGATTTAATAGAAAATAGTTGTGGAATAGCTGATTTAATAGCAGAAGAGTCTAAAATTGGCAGTAGTCATGTAAATTTAGCAACTAAATTAAATTCACGTTTAAAACTTGACACTAAATATGATCAGATATTAGACTTTACACATTTTAATGGAATAGTATCTTATGATTTAATAGATTTTGTAATGAAGAATACTGAGAAGGGTGATTTAAGTATTTTTAATGACTATTGGTTAGTTAAGAATAGTCAGGTTAATAAGACCAAAGATGTAATTTCCTATTATAGAAATAGTCTTAAAGAATTGTTTAATATTCTCAATAATACTCAGATAAAGTATATTAAGTGTATTAAACCTAATAATACTAAAGAGCCATTTAAATTTGATAGAAATGTAGTGAATCAACAATTAATAGCTAATGGAGTACTTGAGTCTGTAAGTTTATCCAAACATTTATTTACATGTTGGATGTATATTGATGAATTTGAAAGTAGATACAAAGATTTAGAAATTAAAGACTCTGTTGTTAAAGGAGTAACTAGAATATTTTTTAATAATAAAACTTTAAAACATTTAGAAAGTGAATTGGAAACTAAACTTTTAAAAGAAGTAGCTTTTAAAGAATTTAAAAATATTCAAATTAGAAATTTTTGTAAAGGAATAGTTAAAAAATTAAAAGAAAAAGAAGAATTAATGAAAGAAGAAGAATTAAGAATTAAAAAATTAAAAGAAGAAGAATTAATGAAAGAAGAAGAATTAAGAATTAAAAAATTAAAAGAAGAAGAATTAATGAAAGAAAAATTAATGAAAGAAAAGGAACAATCTAATGAATTTAAAATATTAAAAGAAGAAAATATGAAATTAATAGAAAATTTAAACAATTTAGAATTTAAAGAAAATTTTATAGATGACAATATAAAAATAACAGATGATGATAGTGAAAATTACATTGACATGTTTAATAACTCAATGAATTTTAAAGATTTATTTAAATTTAATGAAAAAGATTTAAATGGAAAATGTAAGAATTGTAAAAATTTAGAAAGAAAATATAAGATGCAAATAAATCAACTAAGTGAAATTGAAAGATTAGAGAACGAGAATTATGAATTGAAAAGAAAACTAGATAGACATGAAAACAATAATAGTAGAAATATTATTAAAGACAATGTAAATAGTTTTATATATTTATATATAGAAAGTTATCCCAAATACAACCCAAAGGCTTATTTAAAAGGATTAGAACAAAAGAGTCTATCAGAAGAACAACTATTAAGTTTAATTCATGGCGTAATGAATATTATTAAGAAAGATAATTTAGAAATTCGATATTTCATAAATGAGATTATAAGATTGTTACCACTAATTAGAAAAAATACTAATTTATCAATATTCATATTTAGTAATTTAATTGAACTTAAAGCAATGTTTAAAGATAGAAAAGTTGAGAAACTTAATGAGTTAATTGATAATCTGTTTATATTTATATGTTTTAGATTTAAAGATTCATTAAAAAATTTTTTACCATTTTCAGTAATTGATCATCAGTCACTTAAACAATATAAAGCTAAACAGCCTTTATTTAAAAAGTTGTTTGAAGGGAAATCAATCTATGAGTTAAAAAACAAACTAGTTGATATTGTTGATATGTTACTCTTTTATCATGTACCAAATAACATAATTCAGTCAATTATGAATTACTTGTTATCTTATATAGACTTTGAGTCATTTAATTCATTTTTAACAAGAAAAAATTTTTTATCATTTAATAGGCTCATACAAATTAACTTTAATGTTTCAGAATTGATAAAACTATCTTATAAACTAGACTTAAATGTAAAGATGAAGTATACAACAGAAGCAGTTAAAATAGGAATGGAATTAAGTGCAGCATTTATTGATATTAAGATATTAGAAAAGTCGTTTCTAAATTCAATTCAAATTAACTCAATCATATCATCATTTGATAATCAACCAATTCCATTAATGAATTCAGATGGCAGTGATTGTAAATTTTTAAAAGAACCAAAACCTAAATTTATTAAAATTCAGATAGAACAGAAAGTAAAAGAATTTACTTTACCTGTTTTTATTTCTAATAAAGAAATCAATTTGATATTAGAAAGTTTAGATTAAATAAATTTAGTGTTATTAAATAACAATAATCATATTTAAAATGGATAATTTTATTAAAAGAGTAAGAGTAACACAAAATGAAAATAATAATAACAGAAATGAAAATAATAATAACAGAAATGAATTTATAGAAGTTAAAACTTCTTATATAAATCAAAATATTAAAAAGAAAAA